TAAGCTGTCTTTAATACATCAAAATAGAGGCATTATGAAAGCAGCTGGGAATTCAGTTTTAATACTTTAGATATACAGACTCAGGATGTAACAATCTTGCATGTCAACATTTGTATGCCAGTTTGTTGAACTGTGATTGTTTGCCTGTTGTGATGCTGGAAGCTATGCCATCAGTATTCAAGTTATCAACAGGGTGGGCATGTTTATGAAGTATAACTGTAGGAAAATTTGAAGCTGACAAAAAATGAAATGGAATGTTCAAAGATCAATATTCAAGTGTTAGTAAATTGAAATGGACTAGTATTGATAATTTTGATTAAGATAACTCCTATGGTTCCCATGTCAGACAAACTAAAGAGGAATAATGTCACATTCATCATCAAGAATATTTCAACAATTATCCTGAAGTACAATGCTGGCAGTGATACCATAGTATCCTTACACACACAAAGATTAATAAAAGTTAAATTAATTAAGGTCAATGAAAATCTTATTCAAATTTACAAACCAATCACTAAAACCACAGAGTAAGAAATTTAATAAAACTTCCAACAACCTTTTCAGTATGGCAAGTGCTGTACTAAAAGGAGCAAATTTTAAAACAAGCAGGCATATACACATCTAGGCTACAAAGTTATTTTGTTACACGCTGCCAAGTCAGAGCAAAGTCATAGCTGATGCTCTGGCGGGTTTTAGAGTCAGTAAATTACTTGAGAAGAGACTGCCTACCTTTCTCTTGTGGAGCAGCTGGTGGATTCAAACCCAGTGTCTTTGTAGTGGGAGTGCAAATCCTTACCAGTAGGCCTCCATGCAAATTATTCCTCCAATATAAAGAACTCACAGATAGGTATTGTACCTCTAACAGCAAATTGTAAAGACGATAGCTATATGAATACCATGGTGTAAAACAGCCTCTTCTGATCTCAGCGGAGGCCAGTGGAGGAGTAGCAGGATGGATACCTGGATGGAGGTATTTAGCATGGACAGTGGCTCAGCTGGATCTGAGACCATCAAATACTCATATGTAAGTACAAATTGAAACTGATGAAAATGAAAACAAATCCACAAGAACCAAAATACTACCTTAAGGCTACACCACTTGCATTTAAACTCATTTTAAGATCAATTTTGAGGTATTGAACACCAACAATCAGAGACCAGAGGAGTTGTGGGATGACATCAAGATATAATCCATGAAGAGAGCAAAAATTCATTACAAAAATGAAGGGAAAAAAAAGTGAATGTCAGAAGAAACTATGAAAATTCCTCTAGTGCACCAAGATGCCAAAATAAAGTGAAGAGATGTTGAATTAAAAGAGCAAAACAGATGATTTCAAAGGGTACCTTGAGAAGATAGAGCAAAGTATTATAATGGAATATGCAAAGAGCTGGAGCTGGAGAATAAAAAGGGAAGAACTTGCTTGGCATTGCTCAAGCTGAAAGAACTGAAAAACACTTTCAAACTCCAAGTTGCAATTCTGAGAGATGCTATGGGTAAAATCTTTAATGATCCAGGAGGAATGAAAAGATGGGTGGAATAAAGAGTTACTGTACCAAGAACTACACACTGAAAATTTTCAAGAAGTACCCTGTGAATAAGAGCAATGGTAATGAAGGAAGAAGTTTAAGCTGCATTAGAAGGATTGTCAAAGAATAAGGGTCTAGGAACCAATGGGGTACCAATTGACATGTTTCAACCAAGTGATGCAGCCCTGAACGTGTTCATCAGTTTATGGTAGGAAATCTGGAGGACAGCTAACTGGCTGACTGACTGGAAGAGATCCAGTTTTATTTCCATTCCCAAGAAAGGTGATCCAACAGAATGTGCTAATTATTGAACAATATCATTAATATCACATGCAAACAAAATATTGCTGAAGATTATACAAAATTCTTATAATAGTACATTGAGACAGAACTGCTGGAAGTTCAAGTTGGGTTTAGAAGAAGTCTTGGCACCAGGGATATCATTGCAGATGTCAGATGGATCCTGGCTCAAAGCAGAGATTACCATAAAAATGTTTGTGTTCCATTTTTTATGCAAAGGCATGGATGATTGTGTGGATTATAGCAAGCTATGGCTAACAATGAAAGGAATGGGAATCCTAGAACACTCAATTATGTTCATATGAATCCTCTACCTAGATCAAAAAGCTGTGGTCTAAATGGAGTTTCAGAATGTAGAGAAATTAAAGAAAAGAGAAGAAATGACAAAGTAAGAGAATGAAACAGATTATTTCAAAGGGTAGCTGAAGAAGAAAAGCTAAAATAGGATAATGGATTACATAAAGAATTGAAGTTAGAAAAACAAAAGGGCAGAACAAGCTCAGCACTTTTTAAGTTAAAATAACTACACAAAAATTGTCAAGCTTCAATTATAGCAGTGTAGAGTTTGATGGGTAAAGTGTTGGATGATGAAGAAAGCATTAAACAAGATTGAAGGTGTATATAGTCACTATAACAAAAAAGTGTCATCATGCTTGAAAGATGGAGGGTCAACGAAGGAAAGGAAGATCCCCAACAAGATTGGTTGACACAGTGTCTTCAGCACAATGGGCTCAAGTGTCTTGGAGATGATGAGGATGGCACAGGATACAGCAAGGTCAGCTGTTCATCAGGCTGCTATGAGGACTACTCAACTTGATGATACCTAACAACAAACAACATTACAAAAATTATTTGCTGATGCTTTTCAGTAGGTAGTTATTATATGATACTGCAAGAAGTAGTAAAGGTGCACTGAAGACATCGGTGAAAACAAAGCTCCAGAAATTGATTGACTATCAAATGAATTGTTTCAAAAGTCAGAGGCAGCTAGAGATGCTCACTTCTCTGTACTAACAAATTTGGAAAGAAGTTACATGGCCAAAAGGCTAGAAGAGATCCATATTTGTACCTATTTCACAGAAGGGTAATCTAGTGAAATGCAAATATTATTAAGCAATATCCTTAATATCATACTTTAGAAAGATCTTGATAAAGATATTTTTAAATTGCTTTAGTTTGCTGAGAAAATAATCTGAGAAGTTGGACTATGTGAAGAAAAGTGTGGTGTTAGGATTGGAGGAAGACTAACAATTTGCAACATGCAAATGACCAGATTATACTTGTTGAAAGAGAAAGTTTGAAATCAATGAGTATATAGCCTTTAGTATGGATTACTTCTTAATATAAAAAAAACTGAAAAATTCTAACAATTGAACCAATAACTAATATTATGATAAACAGAGAAAAGATAAATTTGTCAAGAAATTAATTTTACCTGAGTCTAAAATCAACATTCTTGGGATAAACAATAAAGGAATCAAATGACATATTGCTTTGGACAAATCTGTGCCAAAGAACCTCTTAAAAGTGTTAAAAGAGCAAAGATGTCACTTATAGGTCTAAAGTGTACCTGGTTCCAAGCTATTTTGAATTTCTTAGTTCATAGGGAGTTGTGCAGATAACCAAGACCTTACTTCTCTGGTGAATCCACCATTAACTCCAAGGGAGAAAAATATGCAATCTTCTTCCATGTGATTTACAACCTTGAGAACAGAATGGAGATTTAGCTATGAGTCAATCTTGCCTCAACAGCATTGAGGGAGAAATATGTCCAGTGAAACGGAATATAATGAAGACCTGGGAAGAATTGATGCTTCTGGTGAAGAATATGAGACATACCACAGATTTCCATAATAAGAAACACATCTCTCTTAGAGGTGCACTAGAATGCTCCTTAGAAATCCAGATTGTGAGACTTAATGTCTCATATTTTGGAGATGTTATTAGGAGGGGCTAATCCTTTGACAAGGACATCACGCTTGTTAAAGTGTCAAAGAAATGCTAACTCATTACTTCAAAGTGGAACCAACTCATAACAGACCCTCCAGCATATTTACAAAGTCTGTAAATCACATGGGAGTAGACTGCCCATCTTTCTCTCAGAGAGCAGCTGGTGGATGTGGCAGTGAAACTCCTACTCACTAGTTCATCAGAGGTCCCTTGGTAAAGCACAGAGTTGCCAGAAGATAAAGACCCTTAATGAGAAAGACTGACACAATGGTTGCAATGGTGGGCTCAAAGACAGCATTGACTGTGAGGATGGCCCAGGGCTGTGTGGAGTTTTGTTCAGTTATATGCAAAGTTGTTATGAGATGCAGCCTGGCAACAACATATCATATGTGAAAGCATGGGAATGAGGAAAATCTCTCAGGAGAATGAATAGAAAGAGAAGAGACAGTTTAAGAGAAGGAACATTTAGTGGGCAACAAAATTTTATGCAGTGATTCATAACCTTTAGGGGATTGAAAACCTCTCTGGAAATTAACTTTTTTTCCCCATAAAGGAAGTAAGTTTTTAGTGTCTTATAGAACTGTGTCATGTCCGGGACACTGAGATCTTTGCTGAATTTCCACAAAGTAAATTTTTACAGATTTATAAAATTGTTGTCAAGTCCAGAATATTGAGATTTCTATGGAAGGTTTCCACAAATTCCTAGTATTTAAACAATTAAAGATAAAGGGGAGCTCAGGAAGGATACCAAAAAAGGGGAATGGGGGGGGGAAGGGGCGAAAGTAAAAAACGTAGTAAGAAATCCAGACTTTTAACTCATGGAGATTTATTCATCTCACTTAATACAACATTAGAGATAAACTCTCTGAATGGCAGACTGGTGCTCTTTTATTTTTAAGATCAAGAAAGAGGCAGAAAGTACATGTAGAATGTAGTGAATTCTCCTTTTACTTCATAGTCCCACAGATCTGAGTTTTCCTCCATCCCATTTTGCATGTCATAAGCCCAGTCACAGAAACCATGGCTTTGTTTACTTAGGAAAAGAAGTTTCTTAGATTGCCCGAATAAACCCACGGTGTTTTCCACTTGACTCCTTCTGAAAACCCGCTGGAGAGGCACCTTGACAGTACACAACACAACAACAATGAGCATAAAATAAGGTAAGGGCAAGTTAATACAAATCTGTAAGTTACTGGAATCACTTTCTCTCAGGTCACACTTACCTATAGAAGTGATGATAACTGTGAAATGAGTTTCATCTTGCCTTCCAGTAACATTGTTATAAGCACAGCACACATAGTCCACTGTCTTCTGGGCTACTTTCTCGGATGCAACTTCTAGGCGAGGCCCATGCTGAATGACATGTGTGGTATTGGCAGCCCTCTGGATCCAAGAGTAGGTATTAGGGGGATAAGAATCAGCAGAACAATCAAACAAGATGGCTTCTCCAAGGTCAACAGTAAACACTTCTCCTACTTTTAGCCCTTTATCAGAATTAACTTGAAGTCCATAAGGCCCATCTGCATTAATACAGAAAATAAATAATAGAGTTAAGTAAGTAATCATTACACAGTTTTGAATCTAGAAGAGCTAAGTAGAGTTTAATTTCCTAGGGAAATCTTTGTGATAGAATTGTACAAGTCCTTACGTATACTCCCAGTAACTGGGATCTAATAAAAATAAGGATCTAATAAAATTTTAGTTTATATTTATTACAATGAGACCTAGTTAAAATATAATTGAACTTATCTAAAACAGAAAATTTTTAAAGTTAGTGTATAACTTATGAACAATGGAATCATGATTGTGATAGTAAACTTTCAGTGATGTATTGATAAATATTCAAGATTTTAAGCAAGCTATTCTGGAAAAAATACCTTAACATAAATGATTCAACATAAAAACAAAAAAAAATATAAACTACCACACAAACAGAACAAAGGAAGAGAACGTCAAGAACCTATCAATTAATGCAGAAAATGCATTTGAAAAGACTCAGTATCTTTTCCTGATAAAAATGATCCAGAAAATGGAATTAGAAGGGAAATTCCCCAACATAATTAAGATCACATATTCAAAACCAACACCAACATTAGTGCCAATGGAGAGACTGTAGGAATTCTCTTTACAAATGGGAACCAGATAAGGATGCCCTTTATTAACACTCTAGTGGCCTAGTGGGTAAGGAGTTGCACTTGTCAACCCAAAGGCAAGTGGTTTGAATCCATCAGCTGCACCACAGGAGAAGGATAAGAAATCTCCTCCCATGTGATTTACAGCCTTGGAAAACACCCTGGTGGGTCATCCATGAGTAGGTTTCAGCTTGAACGCAGTGAGTTTGAGTGATTCAGAACTGTAATGGAAACCCTAACCAGAGCAATAAGAGAAGAAAAGGCACCTAAACTGGCATAAGGAAGTAAATCTCTATTTGCAGATGATATAGCTCAACATATATGCAGTTTGGTGGGTCTGTTCCTCAAAGATTTACTTCCCTAGACCATTGTTTTTAATTTGATTCAGCTGCCTCAACTCTGTCTGCTCTGCAAACAAGTGGCCTGCCTACATCATCAAAACAGAACGAGCCATTTCTTCCTTATGCAAATAAGGCATCTTAGTCTATCCACAAGAAGATCAGACAGTCTTATCATAAATTGGGCAGTGTCAGCAGCATTTGATGGAATGCCACCAACAGGGAGAAAAAAGAAGTTACAAAATGCAGCACATGCCTTTCAGTGCCAGAAGTTCCTGCACTAGGAATTGTATTTTGCTGTTAATTGAGAAGCTCTTTGGACTAAGGTATTGTATCTTGCTGTTAACCTGAATTTTAGTTCTCTAATAAATCCTAGAACAGTAAACAAATTTCTATGAGGTTTACGTGGTCAGGGCAATGGACTTTGGACCCAGTAAGTAAGTGCAGAAGTTTGAGAGGATGTGGCTTTACTTATGGCAATTAGTTTGGGGATGTGGATGTTGTCGAAGAACAACAATATTTTCTACAATATAGAAAATCTGAAAGATGCAGCTAGAAAATTAGTGGGTCTAATTGATCAATTGAGCAAAGTGGCGGTGTACAAGATCAACAACAACAAATATCTTTACATAATGAATTTACTGTTTTTATCTACCATCGAGTTAAAACTCATAGCTTACCCTCCAGTGGGTTTTCAAAGGCAATAGATCTAACAGGAAGTGATTGCCCATCTTTCTCCTACTGGATTCAAACCTGTTGGATTCAAATCCCATGTCTGTGAGTTGGCAGTGCAACTCCTTACTGGTAAGCCATATAACAAAGTGAGCTTTGAAAAGGAAATAAGGAAAATAATAGCATTTACTATAGTCATCCAAAAGATCAAGACTAAATCTAACCAAAGCTCTGGTGGCCTAGAGATAAGAAGCTGTGCTGCAATCCCAAAGGCACATGGTACAAATCCACCAGCAGCTCAGTGGGAGAAGGATGGTCTATCTTCTCCAGTGTGATTAACTTCCCTGAAAACACACCAGAGGGTCAACTATGGGTCAGTTATGAATTGAAGGCACACAACAACAATGTATAAATGACAAAAAAAGTACAAGAAACCTACATAAATGTGAAAGAGATCTACATAAATAGAAAAACAGACCATGTTTATGGATAGAAATACTTAACATTATGAAAATGTCAGTACTGCCATAAGTGATCTATGGATATAATGCAATCCTGATTCAAACAGCTAAATAGTTAATCAAAGAGATGGTAAAAGTAATCACCAATTTTACATGAAAGGAAATAGACCACAGATAAGCAAAGCACCACTGGAGAGGTAGATATTGTTAATTTGTTAATTTTACTTGAATCCATAATCAGTAAACCTGTACAAGCAGCCAGAAAATAAACAAAATGTGCTGCATTGGCAAAGTCTGCAGTCTGAGGCCTCTCCAAAGTTCTGAAGAGCAAGAATGTCAGTTTAAAGACTAAGATGCACCTGACACAATCTATGGTTTTTCAGTTACTTGATGTGCGTCTAAGAGTTGGATAGTGAATATAAATGACAAAAGAAGAATCTATGCCTTTGAGTGTGGTGCTGGGGAAGGGCATTAAATATTTCATGTACTATTGGAAGCAGGAGTGGCATCCACTTCCGTAAATAGCTTGCCTTGGGAAATCCTGTGAACAAGGAGAAAGGATGAAAGTCACACAACTGTTGAGGACTTTCATTGATAGTGTCGCTTACGACTCAACGGCACTTAACAACAGCAACAACCAGGAGAAAGAATAAACATCTTGGAGAGAGTAGAGCCAGTATGCTCCTTAGAGAAAGAATGGTGACACTTCATTTGGGTATGTTGTTAGAAGGGACCAGGCCTTTGAAAAAAGACATCATGCTTGGAAAAGCGAAGGAGGGGAGTACCCTGAACAAAATGACTGACACAGTAACTCTAACAATTGGCTCTACTGTGGCAGATGATGAGGATGACACAGGGCACGCTTCATAAAAGCGCTGAGTCATACTCAACAGCACCTGGACACAACAGCAGATGGTGCAGAGTTTGTGCTCGATTGCTAATCTAAATATTGGTTAGTGGTTTGAACTCATTCAGTAGCACTGTAGAAGAAAGGGCCTGGCACAGCTAGGAAAACAGCCAAGAGCAGTTCTACTTTGCAAGACATGGGGTAGGCATTGACTCAAAGGCAACCAACAACAATAAGGTGGTATATGAAATCACCTTGCTTTTAAGAAAGCAAATTGGAAAGTTAGTACATTCAACTTAAAATAACTAGGAACTGGAAATAGAGATTTATGTGAAGAAAAATGGATGTCTCTTTGTCTCAGTTGTACTAAATACCTCACTGCTTCTTTCAAGATGTAGTGTGATTCCGGGTGAGACCACTATAACAAAACCAAACCCACTCCTACTTTGAATTTTCATTATATAGTAAAAGAGCTCATGAGGCCTAGTGAGTAATGAGATGAAGGTGGTTAAAATCCACCAGGTGTTCCACAGCAGAAGAAAGATGGAAAAATCTCTTGTGTGATTTACAACCTCTGAATACCCACTGGGGGGTCCAATCAGGTCTGAGTTGGTTCTGACTTGACCATAATAAAATATAGTAAGTGGTGTATTGTTGTTGATTGCTGTCGAGTCGAGCATGACTCAGAAACTCTATTAACAAAAGGCCTGAAGCCTTTCTATAGCTATTGCCTTTTATCAAAGTTCATAGAGTTTCCAGAGGCATATTGTTTGGGAAGTGGATGCCACACTTGCTTCCAAGGCAGTATATTAAGTATGAAAAAAATTAATCCCACTCACTAAAACATAATCAACGTTAAGTCCTTCTTTTGTGCAAGATATTATTCTAGACATTGAAAGGATATCTGAGATATTGAAGACTTCTGTGGTTGTGCACGAGCAGGGTCTCTTCCAGTGGTGAGTACTGATAAAATGTCAGGAGGCAAAAGTCCTACCAGAAGGGCACTGGCTGTAGAATAAAACCAAGGAGAAGAGCCAGCTGAGGATTGGAACTGCTAGATCCCAAATCAGCAAAAAACAGAAGTCTTAGAGTTCTGAAAGCTGAGCGAGACAGGTTTGATGAAGAGATGGGTAATAGAAACACACTTTTTAGTTTAGGCCTCTGTCTTCCCATTGATATTTGGGGTCTTGTAAAGCTCTTTTGCTGTCACTGCATCTATACTTGTATCTGACTTATCATCTCCAGTTATTTGGGCTTGAGCCAGTGTCCTGCCATGTGGGAAGCCAAATTTCATACTAAATATTTATAATAAACCAAATGCTGTATCAAGATATAAGGGGGGGGCACAGATACTAGCTGGAATTCACCCTGAAGCACTAAGGCAGACTTTAGATGTTTACAGGGGTAAACACTAAGGCAAACCTTAAGCACAAGATTCTTGTATTGTATTTGCCAACCCCTCCCTCCTGAGTGAAGCAGAAGGTTTTCAATAGAAAGAACTTAGCCTCATTTACATAGAATTCTCTGTGATTTGCTCCTGGGAATTTTCAATTTTCAAAGGCACAGGGAAGCTGGGTTCAGCATTTCAGTTCTTTAAACTGCTCAGGCCCCTGCTTTACCTCTTTATTTATTCATTCCTGGTGTTCTGTTTTGTTATTAATACTTTACATGATCAACAACACTGCCATATTGCTTGGCATAATACATTTGTTACCTCCCATAACGATGTGAACCAGGAGAAGCAGTGATGCTGGCCTCTAACTTATGGACTTGCTAGCCTCTAAGAATGTATGAGCCATTTCCTTGAGAGAAATCCATACCACAAGTTTTGTTTCTCTAGAAACCCTTAAATATTCTCACCCCTTCCAATCTCCTCTCCTTGAGTTCCTGTACATGTTTTACTAGTTGTCCTTCTATTTTTTACAGTAATGGTCTGATACAGTATTTGCCCTTATGAGACTATGCTAGTTCACTCAGTATAATACTCTCCATCCTCTCCCAAGTTATGTAGTATTTTTCAAAATTGTTGCTTCTAAGTGCTGCACAGTATTCCATTGTATGAATGTACCA